CTCTTCGTCGTCGTCACCGTCGTCGTCGTCGTCGACGACGTCGTCCTCGTCGTCGTCGTCGTCGCCGTCGTCACCGCTGTCGCCGTCGTCGTCTTCGTCGTCGTCGCCGCCGCCGCCGTCGTCGTCGTCGTCGTCGTCGTCGCCCTTGTCGTCCTCGTCGTCGTCGTCGTCGCCGTCGTCACCGCTGTCGCCGTCGTCGTCTTCGTCGTCGTCGCCGCCGCCGCCGTCGTCGTCGTCGTCGTCGTCGCCCTTGTCGTCGTCGTTGTCGTCGTCGTCATCGCTGTCGCCGATGTCGTCGCCGTCGTCGTCGTCGCCGTCGCCGTCGTCGTCGCCGTCATCGTCATTCTCGTCGTTGCCGTCCTCTTCGTCGTCGTCCTCGTCTTTGTCGTCGCCGCCGCCGCCGTCGACCTCGTCGTCATCATCCTCGTCGTCGTCGTCGCCACCGTCGTCGTCGTCGTCGTCGTTGTCGTCCTCGTGCTCGTCGTCGTCATCGTCGTCGTCCACTGCGTCATCATCGTCGTCGTCGTCCTCGTCGTTCTCGTCGTCGTCCTCGTCGTCGTCCTCGACGTCGTCCTCGTCGTCGTCGTCGCCGTCGTTGTCGTCGTCGTCATCGTCGCCGCCGTTTGCGTCGTCCTCGTCGTCCTCCTAACAGTCGTCGTCGTCGTCGTCCTCGTCGTCGTCGTCGTCGTCGTCGTCCTCCTGCTCGTCGTCGTCGTCTTCGTCGTCGTCGACCTCTTCATCGTCGTCGTCCTCGTCGTCGTCGTCGTGCTCGTCGTCGTTGTCGCCACCGTCGTCGTCGTCGTCGGGGCCGTCGTCGTCGTCATCGTCGTCCTCGTCGTCCTCGTCCTCGTCGTCGTCGTCCTCGTCGTCGTCCTCCTCGTCGTCGTTGTCGTCCTCGTCGTCGACGTTGATGGTAAGCTGTAAGTGCACAGTGGCCTTGACCTGCAAGTGCACAGTGGCGTATATTTTAGCATTGGATTTTAGCATTGGATTTTAGCATTGGGTTTTAGCATTGGATTTTAGCACTGGGCTTTAGCAGTGGATTTTAGCATTGGATTTTAGCATTGGATTTTAGCATTGGATTTGAGCATTGGCTTTAGAACTGGAGTTTAGCATTGGATTTTACATTGGTTTGTAGCATTGCGTTTTAGCATTGGGCTTTAGCATTGGATTTTAGCATTGGATTTCAGTACCGCGCCGAGCTTTCTGCAAGACGTTCAGCGCCGATTTCGCCGCGCAAGGGTCCGGCGCCATTAGCATTGGATTTTAGCATTGGATTTTAGCATTGGACTTTAGCATTGGATTTTAGCATTGTATTTTAGCAGTGGATGTTAGCATTTGATTTTAGCATTGGATTTTAGCATTGGGCTTTAGCAGTGAATTTTAGAATTGGATTTTAGCATTGGATTTTAGCCTTGGATTTTAGCATGTGATTTTAGCAGTGGAGGTTAGCATTTGATTTTAGCATTGGATTGTAGCATTGGGCTTTAGCAGTGGATTTTAGCATTGGATTTTAGCATTGGATTTTAGCATTGGGTTTTAGCATTTGATTTTAGCATTGGATTTCGGTACCGTGCCGGGCGTTCTGCAAGACTTTCAGCGCCACGGATTGCGGCGCGCAAGAATTCGGCGCCGTTAGCATTGGATTTTAGCATTGGATTTCACATTGGATTTTAGCATGGAATTTTAGCATTGGATTTGAGCATCAGCGCAGCGGATTTCGGCGCGCAAGAATTCGGCGCCGTTAGCATTAGAGTTTAGCATTGGAGTTTCGCGTTGGATTTTAACCTTGGATTTTAACATTGGATGGAGCATTGGCTTGTAGCATTGGATTTTAGCATTGGATTTCAGTACCGCGCCAAGCTTTCTGCAAGACTTTCAGCCGCGGATTTCGGCGCGCAAGAGTTCGGCGCCGTTAGTAGTGGATTTTAGCACTGGAATTTAGAATTGGACTTGAGCATCAGCGCCGCGGATTTCGGCGCGCAAGAATCCGGCGCCGTTAGCACTCGAGCTTAGCATTGGAATTTAGAACTGGATTTTAGCATTGGATTTTAGCATTGGATTTGAGCATTGGATTTAAGCATTGGATTTTCGCATGGGATTTTAGCATTGGATTTTAGCATTGGATTTTCGCATTGGGTTTTAGCCTAGGGTTTCGGTACCGTGCCGGGCGTTCTGCAAGACTTTCAGCGCCGCTGATTTCGGCGCGCGAGAAATTTTAGCATTGGATTTTAGCATTGGGTTTTAGCATTGGATTTCGGTACCGTGCCGGGCGTTCTGCAAGACTTTCAGCGCCACGGATTGCGGCGCGCAAGAATTCGGCGCCGTTAGCATTGGATTTTAGCATTGGATTTCACATTGGATTTTAGCATGGAATTTTAGCATTGGATTTGAGCATCAGCGCAGCGGATTTCGGCGCGCAAGAATTCGGCGCCGTTAGCATTAGAGTTTAGCATTGGAGTTTCGCGTAGGATTTTAACATTGGATTTTAACATTGGAT